CCTGCCCTGGGGCCGCCGTGCGAGCTCCCCCTGCCCCGGGCACGGCGCGCCTCGGCCTCCCCGGGCAGCTGCTTTCCGTGTACACTTAAAAAAATTAATTGGGTTTCTAATTAGCCTCTTAAGCCACTCGCTCTGTGGCAGCTCGGGTGCTGCCTCTGCAAGCCGGGGTTATGTTGAAGCTGTGTGGCTGGCTGTACTGGTGTTCAGGTAAATAGGTGTGTACTGAGACCCAAGTTCATTCGTCTGACTGTCCTTTTCCAGAATCGGATGTGCCGGCGGAGCTGCGAGTTGCAAACGGGTCGCAAAAATTTGTGAAGTTCACTTCGACAATCCAGAACCAGCTGCTGCTTGTGTCACTGCTGGAGCATCTCTGCCACATGTACACACACAACCCCGTTCACTCCAGGGGTTTGTTCCGAAGTTAGTAAGAGGAGTTCATTCCTGTCTCTCAAGCTGCCTTACTGACTGCATGTACCAGAGCCTTCTGTGCAGACTTACAGTGTAATATCAATACAAAGCTGTAGGTTTCATCCTGCTGGGACAAGAATGATTCTGTGAAGAGGATGAATATCTTGAATCTGCTAAATTGGCAATGACAACTTGTCTTATTTTTGAAAACAGTAACAGAATATTGCTGTAGATGTAAGGATCAGACAGTTTTCAGCTAGATTGTGAGTTGCATCATGAGAAGGGCAGCAGGTTAAATTATATTACTGTTAAATGTGATCTAGAAATGCTGGTAGAAGAGGAATTTAATAAAATATTTATCAAGAAATAGTTGCAGTAGAGTCTTCACTAAATACTTAAAAATTATGTTCTGTGAAAATCTGAGTAAATACCTTTACAATTTTTTTTTTCCATTAAGTCTCTTGATACCATTCAGGGAATTCACATTTTTAAGTGTGAAGTGTTACTTTTAAAATATCTTCCTGGTACTTGACTTATCATGGGTGTTTTGTTCATTTAGGTATATACCTAATGAAAGGTAAATTTAAGAAAGCATATCCAAGGGTTTTGTCCTTACTTTACATGACTGTAGACAATAAAATCTAATGTGTTTTTCATAGCTAAAATTCACTCCATTTATAACATCACAGTTGCACCCAGCACAAAATCTCCAGTATTTATGAGGTTTTACTTGCCACAGTTGTTTTACTCCATATGAGAAAGATTAGGTGGTGGGAGGGACTTCATTCTCTGTCTGAGTACGTGCACAAGTGTGTGGGTTTGGATGGGAATTAAAAAACCTTGACATTACCACTTTTGATTATAAATGCATCCTCATCATTGTGAACCTACTTTGAATTTTTCTTTTCACTGGTCAAAACTAATCCAAAAGTAAAATGTAAGTGAATGGGTGACTGTTTCTATAACTCATCTGCTGAGGTGAGGAAGGAGATGCAATTGTGACCCTGGAAGGCATGACATTTATTATGTGAAGGGATTCCCATAGAGCAGCTCTAGTTTGGATTGAATTAGTTTTAATTGCTAAGAGTATGGGAACAGCATTAGAGTACAAGGGACTGTTCAGTTTTTCAGACACGTTACCTTTCAAATATCTTTCATATATTTTTCTGTTTAAAAACTTTATGTAGTCTTATTGGCTGGCTTTATTTAATGTTTTTCTGACCTTTCTCTGTTCCTTTGTGCAGTTCTTCGTCAGACTTTCACAAGAACAGGATTACTCTCCCCTTTTGTCTTTTGTGATGAATTTAGTACTGTAAGACTGCAACACAACAGAGCCATTACTGAACTGATGAAAGCAGCTAATCAACAAGTACTTAACGGGGTAAGTTTTGTTACATGTCTTTGGCAGCTTCTGCAGTTAGGAGCTTTTGTTTAGGGGTTCTTTTAATATTGAATTAAGTCTTTTTAATAATTATACAAAATAAATCCTTAGCTGTTTAGGACGACATTCTCTGGCTCTCTAGGTGCAAACCAGTTTTTTTACCTTATTAAATAGTAATAATAAAACAAGTTAAAATGTTTATAAACAAAAGCAAGATGTTATAAGTATTGCTACAGCTTTTTTTGACAGACATCCATTTTCAACTTTGAACTGTTGGTTATGCTTACAATCTCATATTTATATTAATGGAGGGTGTAGTTTGTGTACTTGTACTTCAGGCTGAATCATACCTGTTTGTTTATCTCGCTGCTTGAACTAAGCTAGTTAATTTTGTTTTAAGCATATTTTAGAGCCCTCATTTTATCCTGTTTGCCAGCAGAACTCTAAAGGGCAGTAATCTTTCCAGCAGAGGGATGTTAACAGATTACCAGTGTGATAATAATACTTTAATTTGGTGAAGCTCTCTGCAGCATGCGAATGGCTGTCAGTAACCTCATTTTCTTCCAAGAAGGTTGCAGTTTATGTTTTGATGAAGCTGTCTGTGTCACTGGCACAGCAGACAAGTTATTCTTTTTATATGGCATGTTTTTATGTTGGATTTTGTTGTTTCATAGGAGCTTGATAATGGAGAGACTCTTGCAATTGGGTATGTATTCAAAGCATGTAGAAATACTAAATTAACTCATTCCCTAAAGTTCTGTGCTCCACTCTGAATTTAATCAATACTGCATTTCATATTTTGGCTCTGAAACAGAAAAAAAGTAAAGGTTTCTCCAGATTCTCAAAATTATGTGGGTGATAATTTGTTCTTCAGTACAACTCTTTCAGTCAGTGCCACTGTTCAGGAAAACAAGATTTATCAGGCATCAGTGTAAAAGAAATAATCTGAACACCACTGTTAAAACAGAGTATGTAGCACATATTCATGCTCTTGCAGTCTGCTGGTTTTCAGTATTCACTGAAACTCAGGCTGTTACAGTATGGTAATGTCAAGTAATTTCTTTTCATAATGTGAATAATTTTAGAATGTGTACATCTGTATCTTACTTGTAATTTAGTTTAATGCAGCCTAACTTTTCTCGATTAGGGAAAAAGAAGTTCTCTTTGAGGCACAGACTTCACGATACTTGAATGAATTTGAAGAGGTTGCAAGGCTAGGAAGAGGAGGATATGGCAAAGTATACAAGGTATTCTTTACTTCCCAAATAAAACTACTCTGTTTATATCTATTTCATTGGAATTTGGAGTTACTGTTTCAACTGTGCTGCCAAATTTTTTTTGCATAGAAGTGCAAATGTTACCTTCAAAGAAAGTTAGTGTTTCATATCAAAAGATGCTCACTTGTAATTAGTTTTGTTTGTCAGATGCAGGATATATGATGTTTTACTTTGTGTATTTTGATGCTTTTAAAGTGAATGAAAACTCCTTATTTGACATGTGAAGTATTATGATATATTGACTGATTGGTCTGCACACCCCATTGCTTTAGTTGTGCCTGCTTTTAAAAAATGAGTATCAGTATGAATATAAACTAACCAATCCAATGTTCAATTAAGCACTTGTATAGCCAGCCCAAGGTTCCACATGAGGTATGTGCCATGTGGAAATGACAAATGTGGTCTCACATATTTATTGAGGACCTGTTAAGCAGTTATCAGTACCTAGCAGTATCCCTGTATGACAGCAGGGGCCTAATCCCAGTTTCATTCCCTGATACAGGTAATAATATATAGGAATGGGGTGGAGACATAAAATTTTAGAAAACAGTGGGTTCTGAAAGATTTAATTAATCCAAGCACATTTACATCTAATTTTCTCCTGCTGCAATTGTTTTCAGGTCAGAAACAAATTAGATGGTCAGTTCTATGCTATTAAAAAAATTGAAATTAAGAAGGCTACAAGAAGAGATTGCATGAAGGTATTCTTCTTCCTGTGTTTTGTCCTTGTTTTAACACCTCTGTATCTTATTCTGTTCTAATTTATTAATGTAGCTAATATAATTTTTATGCATTCTGAATTTTTAAAGATTTGAGCCTATCAATACCTAGTAGAAAAAAGTAAAAGAGACCCATTAAAGTCCATTAAAATAACTATATTAATTACTTGAACTTGATCATCTCTGCAGTGATGAAAATCAATTTGTTTTAAAGCTCTCATTTTTTTTCTGTTACTGTAACAATTTAATCTGTTCTTTCTCTCTAAGAAACTTATTTTTTGTTACCTTGCATGTTTACTAAGCACTCAGAATAAAGGAGTGTCATACTGTGGGTTTTTTGGTCTTTTTAGGTTCTCCGAGAAGTCAAAGTGCTGGCTGGGCTGCAGCATCCCAATATTGTAGGCTATCACACTGCTTGGATGGAACAAGTTCAAACAGTACATCCAAAAGGAAAGTAAAGCTCATTGTGTAATTCTTGCTTGCATCTTACAACCTCTGTACTGTTATTTTAAGAAAAGTATTACTTCTCCGAAAAAAATTACTAATTTTTTTCCCCTCCTTAAAAGAACTAAAAGAAAGGGAAATTACAAGTGATCACCAGGTCCTTCTGTATACTCAATCCCTCCTTACCAAATAATTTATTTGTTACTCAATGATTAATTTGGAACTGTGGAAATATTAGCTTTACTTTTGGTAAGATCTGAGGAGGATTTTAAAGTTGTGTAAAGGTCAGTGAAATGCAGTGAAAACCTTTTAATGCAAAAAGTAGTGAGTTGACAAGGAGAAGAATGAATCCTGAGGAACAAGATGCCTCAGATATTGGGGAGAAAGAGATGAATAGGACAAAAAACCCACAAATTTTCAATTATGTTTTGAAGTCTCAGAGATGTAGCAACACTAGAATCAGCATCCCAGTATGCTTCTTTTTGGATCTGGAAAAGATCTAAGAAAAACTGAAAGAATCTGGAAATATATACTTTTACTGATGAACCCTCCCCCACCAAAAACTCTTTATTTTGCTTTCTAAGTTAGACTTTTTAAATTTGGTGAATTGTATTTCATAGTCCTGCACTGACAGAAAAATTGGATTTTTTTTGTGTATCAGACACTGGCTGTAACTGTTGAGAATTTATCTACTTTTGTGTTCATTTTACACCTTCTCAGTTTTTCTCTACAGGTTCTTTGTTCTCAGCTCTTTGCATACTCTGTCCTTTGGTCCCTTTGTAACCCTAATCCATTGGTCCCTTTCTAGTCCTTTCCTGGAATGTCTCTAGCAATTAAATCTTTTGATCCTCTCTTAGTGGGAGATTTGGTTATGCTCTGTATAACTTTATTGCTTTCCAAGTCACTGACTTGATGCCCAGCCAGCCATAAGCACAAAAGAAAATGCATAAATACATAGGAAGTTGACAGTAGAGTAAAACAGGAAAAACTTTAACCAGTGATCCTGAGAATCTCGAGGGAAGCAAATGTTTAATCCTGGGGGTCCTTCATAAGTATTTAATGGTGGTAATGGAAGTGCATAATGAAATCTACAGGTAGCTTCTGTGGTACTTAATGGTTTCTCTTGTCTTACAAGATTTATGTTTTATACTTGTTTCTGTATGCTAAAACAGCTTTTTCATATAAAAATGCAATTTTAATGACAATTATTTTCAAGATATCAAGTGTCTTCAGCAGCAGTGTGATGTGTGAAGGGTGATGCCTTGTGGAGCTGCTGCTTTAACTGTGTGTTATTCAATACATTTTAAACTCTTACTTTGAACAGGCCGACTTCTGAAAGATGAAGTCTAAGTAAATATCTAAGAAAGCCCAGTACAACCTTTTTAGTGACTTTGTACAACATATTTTCTTTTAACTTAAAGATAAATAAAATGCATATTAGGGTAGCTTCTTAGTAGACTTAACAAGACCCTTTTGCAGCAGAAATGAGGTAATCTAGAGCTATCGACAGGTAACAAAGTTGAATTCAGAGAGGTGCTCTACTTTAAATGGTAATTTTTTTAGTAAATATGTAGATACATTCTTTGTTTTATGAAATACCATATTTACCTTTGTATCCAACAGGTAAAGCAATAATGGAGTTGCAGCCATTATTTTTGGAGCATGAGAATAGCAAGTGAGTATTACTAATCTCAGTGGTAAGGTATATTCAACTTTAACTTCAGCTGTGTATCTGAGATATTGTTGTCTGGGACAGCTGTCCGAAATCCCTGCTGGTAGAAAGTATTAAATCAGCTGGAGCCTGCACTGACAGTTATGTAATCCTGGAGTTTTATGTGGGGAAGCAGCTGAACTCTTACTTGGGAGTGCTGTTTGCAATTGGGGGAAAAAAATCAGCATGGTGTATCACAAATAGATGGTATGAAACTGTGTACTTATTTGGATTTCTCTCCCTTTGATATTTTCAGTGATCGCTGTCACATCCAGAGTGTAGAAAGTGGTAGTTCAATTATCTTTGCTGACCTTACCTCACAAGAAAAGAAGCCCTGTGACAGTACCAGTCTTGAAAATGTGCACAGAGAATCTGTGCAGAATATGGATGTAAGGAATGACTTTACAAACAGCAGTAGCAAAGAGTGTGTGAAACCAAATAAATGTGAATTATCCATAGAACTGCAAGAAGACTGTGTGTTAACACATATTGTTAATGTTAACACCTTATCAACTGATGTGGACAATCATTCAACACAGGGAACTCATTCCAGTCTGGATCAAGATGCTAGCACTGAAAGTGAATCCTGCTCTGAGAGCAAGTCCTGCTCTGAAGGATGCTCCAAAAATGAGGTAGCACTCTGTGGAGAGTTTGAGGTAAATACTTATCTGCTGTCTAATTTTGTGATGTTTTTAAAGGAGTTCAGTAGACAGTGGCAATGAATTATTTATTAAAATGAATTTAAAAGAATTGAATGACTGTAAATAGAGCCAAAGGTTCAGACAATTTTTACTTAAGTGGGTAACATCATTACAAGGAAACTGACCAGAGTAGCTGGCAAAGCTCAGCATCTACAAGGAATTTTCCATGTGTTAGGCATCTTGAGTCCTTTCAAAGTACCTGCATGAATAAAAAGTGTTACTGCTGCATTAAACAGCCCCATCAAAATGAAAAGTCTTTAGCTTCTGCTAATGATAGCTAAAGTAGCTGTTAACAATGAATGTGTCTTGGTATGTCATGTGGTGCCCATGCAGTGTAGGAGTACATGGGAAAGAGATAAAAGCAGATTTTGAGCAGGGAATCACTGGTGCTCTAAAACCTTGCTGTCATTTATCATACTACTGATATGTTTTGTGTAACACAGCCAGCTCTAGAATGCTTCAAGCTTTTGCTATCATTTGGAGCTCCCTCTTGGAAGAAACCCAGTTTTAAAGGTGTCTGCTTGAGTTGTCCAGGTTATCAGATGAACTGGTCCATTACCAGAAACTGAGCTACATATTAATGGTAATAAATCAAACAGTTGGACTCAAAGGTCTTTACCAACCTAAACAATTCTGTGATTCCATAAAATTCTGCATCAAGAAATTGATTTTTTTTTCTGCTATTTTATATTGGTTAAGCTGTAATAAACCTCTGTGTAGTGTTTCTGTAAGGCTTCAAACTTTAATTTGAATATTAAAGATGCATCTGGCGGTTTTGTTAGCATTTATCATATAACAATTGTTAAAATTTGAGAAACAAGCAAAAAACTGCCCAAAACTAGATAGCATTGTTGCATCTGCTTCTTGAGTGCAGTAGATAACTAATACTATATTTGATGTCCTTTTGGTACCTGTTTTTGCAGGGGTTTTTTGTTTAATAAATTTTGGATTTATTTGCTTTAAAGAAAATAACTAAAGAAGTACTGTTTGTGTTACAATGGCAAAATTATGGACTTATTTTTCTGTTAGGTGGAGTATCATCTGATGCTTCATATACAAATGCAGTTGTGTGAAATATCCTTGTGGGATTGGATTGCTGACCGTAATAAAAGATGCAACAAGAAATCAGAGGACCCCTCTAGTAAGACTCATCACTACCTTATTCATTGTAAAGCAAATAATTTTTTTTTTTTTTTTTGGTAATTTGAACTGCAGTTATCTAATTTTATTTTACTTCAGCAGCTTATAATACAGTTCTTCATTAAATTCTTTATTGACTTAATCAAATAGCAGCTTGTATTGAATTTTTGCATGATAGATGTTGGTAAAAGAATTGAAATTCCTGAGTTTTAGACAGCTCTTCAAAAAAGAATGACTGAATGCCTGAGGCATAGTTGTTACCAGGGGAGATCAGTGTCTGGGCAATATTTCTTATTTGGAACAGAGTTTTTTATTGACAGAATCTGCTGCTTCTCAGAAAGCTGGTTATGGGCTAATTTATCTGCTGTGGAAAATACAATTATATAATTTGATCCAGACAGGTTAATTTGTAATAGGTTAAAGAATGTAACATTGACTTTTTCTGAGTGATCAGGGGGTTCTCATGCCCTCCTACCAAGCAGTCATCAGTAACCTGACATTTGGAAGAACAAATCCAATGCTCTTAAAGCAGTAGAGACATGTTCCATTCTCTGGGGTGGTTGTATAAAAGCAGCATATGCACATCAGGTTGTAAAACAAAATGTGTAATTAATGTTTTGTCTTGGTTTAAATCACTATTAAGGTAAATGTGTTATTTTCATTCATAGAGACAGGTTTACTAGCAAACTGTCAGCTGACTTCCACTAATCTCTCCTGCAATCATAATCTTTTAGCTTTCATGAGCTCAAAGATGATGTTCCTGGTCAGGAAATGACAGAATTACAATGACATTTGAACTTGCAAAATGCTGTTTTCACACATTTTCATGGAAAAGATGAATGTTATCATAGGTTAGACTTGAAGAAATGGAAATCCAAATGTGAGTAAAAGGTGACTGTTCAAAAAGACAAGTTAAATATGGGTCATTAGAGCAGGGTGACAATGTAGTTTAATAAAATAGTAATGTGGAAAATGGTCAAAACAAGGATGTGCTAAATTTTTATAGGACAGCTAGAGCCAGAGGAGATTGAGGAATTTCAGAGGGTAGCAGAGCAGCAGAAGGATTAGAAACAAAACAAGAGAAGTGCAAAGCAATACAGACAGCATGTCACTACATAAATTAGTATGATTTTATCTGGAATTGTATTTTTCATGCTAGGTCAGAACTCACATGAAAATAAAGAGTTTGTAAAATTCATAACCCAATAACTATCTGATGTGGTTTGGAATAATCTTCTCAGGAGGACATAGGTTCATGTTCCCTGAAATTTCCTTTTTGGAATTTTAATGTTAGTGACTTTTTGCCGATTCAGAAATAATTTCATGAGAGACACATGGTAAAATCCCTATTTAAAATATGCTCATTCTGTTAAAAATTTATTCCACAGCATAAATAAAGAGAATTCAATAAGACATACCACCATATTCTTGCATAACTTAGTAAAACTAGCTGAAATAATTTAAATTATTTTAAGGTCCATACCATCTCGTGGATGTTTGCTGGACAATGAAGATTTTTCGGGAGATAGTAGAAGGGGTTTGCTATATCCATAGCATGGGAGTGATGCATCGAGACATTAAAGTAAGTTCATCAAATTATTACTTGAGTTTGAAGAAAACAAAGTTTTCATTATGGGAGAATGAAAGCAACTTCATAGTTGTACTAGAGATGACCTGGGCTCTTAAGAATTTAGTTGTTGCATAAGAAAAAATGCATAATCTCCTTTATAGCAGTGCTATAATTTCTTTACTACCAGCATAGTACTCAGTTACACTGACTTCAGAGTGGATTTTAAGCTCTGGATTTTTTTTCTCCTTTGAAGCCATTTTCCTGTCAGGAACAAGCATGGTCAGATTGGTTTTCTTTTGTCTCAGTCTTTCCTTAACCAGGGTAGGAACTTAATTACCTAAAAAAAAAAAATTATTTTCAGTAATTACAAAAATAATCAAAGCCCCTGGACTAGACCTCAGTTTGCTCACTGCATACAGTTAGCTTTTGAAAATATGTTCCAGTTGCTTGCTTACTGGTAACCTGAATAGCAAGGAAGTGGGCATGTGTTTTCCTACTTTGCTTCCTGCTCAGGTTTTCTGCATCTGATACAGCAGCTGTATGAAGAAATCATGATTATTAAAACTTCACATGTGGAAGCTTGGAACTACTTGAAATCACACAATCTTCACTCTGGATTAATTTTCATTTTTCTGTCAACTGTTTCAGGGTGAAGAGTTTTTCAGTTTGCCTTCCCATTTAGCATCATCATGGCCTAATTGGCCAAAGTCTGATAGTTACATAAAGAATTCCAGAATTCTATAGAGTTACTGCAAACCTGCTTTTGAGCCAGTTCTCATGGTTTTCACCATATTCTAATGGTGATTTTGCAGATACCTAGCAGAGACTGTAATTTCTGGGATAATATTCTAAGGAAGTCTTTCTGTGTGAATGTCTGAGAACAGAAGCCCAGTGGGTGGGTGTCCTGGATATGTTTTTACTTAAGTGGATATGAGAAGCCTAGCAACTTGTTCAACAATGCTGCATCTTTTAAATTTAATCTGCATTGAATAAAGGGAAAGAATGGAGATTGCCTATCTCTTCTTAAACTATTCACATCTCCTTTATACACTAATAAAAGGCCAACTATTTCCTTTGTGCCACCTGAGCAAGTTGGGGGATTTTTCGAGATACATAATGCTTGCATTTCTCCTCCTTAGTGGTCCTAAAACTGAAATATATGGCTAAAAACTGTTTCAGTTTTCTGAGTCAGAGCTCTCAAGTCTGTCATAATTTGTTTTTTTTTTTCATAGCAGCTTCCCAGAACCATGTAGCATATTGCAGCTGCTTATCACACAGAAAAATGCATTTTGGTTTGTATTATGTCTAGCCCAATGATAGTCATCCTTCCTGCTACATCAGTTGGTCAAATTTACTGTCCACTCTTGCCTGTTCCTGTTTACTGTTCTGCAAATTTCCCAGTTTCTGTTGGGGAAAAAAAAGCACTTCATCTTTTTACTAAGTCTTGGTTTTTCTGTTTTGCTTTTCTTCCTTTTTTTCTAGATCCTTCTTCTAGGTATCTGGTCTTTTTGGCCCAAAGTGTTGCTAACACATTATTTGGTATTAGCAATGCCTATTTTTTCTCTCTCACTACTAAAAAATGTTAATCATACCTGTGAAACACTGGATTTTATAGACTAAATTCCCTAATTCTTTATATAAACATATTTTTAAACTGTATTGTCTTCATTTGCAGCCTAGAAATATCTTTCTACATGGATCAGATCATCAGGTAAAAATAGGTGACTTTGGATTAGCCTGCCAAAGGACTGACACATACTTCAGGAGTGGGGACCTGCCTCTATGCCTCACCAGAACAACTGCAGGGATCTCACTATGATTTCAAGGTAGAAAACTTTTTGTCTCTTCTATTCTTTATTAAATATAGATAGATAATAGAAATAAATCAAGCCTTTCAATATGCAAATATATATTTGATAAATACATATTCCTCCTATTATCACTCCTAGGATTTTTATTGAAACATGGATTTCATCTTTGCCTTCTCGTTTGCTATTAAAGCAAGTTATTTCCTTAGTATGTTGAGAACATATTTAGATTTGAATTTGTGTTCTTTTAATAGTGTCATGATACTCTTCATACCATCATGAAACTTCATTGTTGTGAAACCTATTCATATAATGTTTTTATGAGAAAAAGAAGCCCATTGAGTTAAAACAGCAGTTATCTCAGAACTTTCTCTTCACCTCATTAACAGTCAGACATGTACAGCATGGGTGTTATCCTGCTAGAACTCTTCCAGCCATTTGGAACAGAAATGGAAAGAACAGAAGTTCTTACACATTTAAGGACTGGCCAAATTCCTCACACTTTCAACAAGAAATGGCCTACTCAGGCCAAGTATGTGAAACTTCTCACCAGTCCCAGAGCTACAGAACGCCCAACAGCAGCTCAGCTTCGGGACAGTGAACTCTTCCACAACACGGACCAGGTAAGTTGTGCCAGTAACCCCAACCCTGAATACCTAAAGGAACACAAAAAGAAAATGTCCTTTGTATCCCTGCCTGCATTATTTGTTTGGCTTTGCACCTAATCACATGTTCCTCTTAAGACTCTTTCTGATTACAGTATTTAGGCCACTGTATTATTTCTGGTGTCTCTGCAATGAGATGGCTGGTCAGTGCTTTAGGCAACTTTCTGAAGACTGTACAGTTGAGATATATTTTTTATAGGTCAGCAAAGCCTTCACAGGTTTTCATCACATCTGCAGATTCTTCTAATAATTTTTCCTTTCCCTGTCCTAGTGCTGTGTGGATTAAGTTGTAGTATCAAGAATGCAGAATAGCTTGAGTGCTGCTGCATTGTGTCTGTAGTGGATTGCAAACACAATTCGAGTAGGTCTGTAAGGCTTTATCCTTGCTGAGCTCTAATGAAGTAAACTCACTCATTTTCAGGTTATTTCTAACCTCCAACAGAAGGTGAGACAGCAAGAAGAAGAAATAGAGAAGCTGAGGGAGACAATAAGACTGCTTTCTGAAGAGCAGGATGAACAAACAAGACTAGGCTCTCCTGTTTGAGTACAGGAAGAACTAATCTCAATTGTGTGTTAAGTTATATAAAAAGTTTCTTTTTTTTTTTACATAAAGTATTTCAATGCATTTTTGTTTGGCTGTCTGTTCTTAAAAAGTATTTTTTTTGCCTTGACCAAAGGCTCCTGAGAAAGGGATCATGTTGCACTGGAAAAATTAAGAGCACAACTTATATTTACATAGGATTAATTTACATACCTTAGCCAGTGAACAAATCTGTTATGCAAGAGTAACAAAAAAAGGAAGGTCACACCCAAAAGGCAGCTGTAATGCTTTTATTATTTTAGGATTATGTCCAACTTTCGTATCTAAAATACATCTCAAAAAGGACTCAAACATTACAGCATGCATGAGGTGGAATAAGATTAAAACAACATCACTATGAAGGGCAGGGGCTCACTTGAGTAGCTTCATCACAGAGCTGAAAGGTGCCAGATTCTCACAGGACTTCATCCACTTCTGCACGTTGGCCGGGGCGCTGTTGGCAGTGCCTGTCTGCTGCAGTGCACACCACGCCACCACATCAGCCACCGTCAGTTCATTGCCCACCAGCCACGAGCTCTTGCCCAAGGCAGCATTCATGGAGCGCAGCACTGCTCCTCTCTCCTTGCTGCTGCCTTCTTTCAGCTGGAAGATGGCTGTGTCCACCCAGCTGTCGATCAGAGTTGAGGTAACTGCATTGTACTTCTGCCCAAACAGGGAAAAGAGAAATCGAGCGATGTTCCCCTCTCCTTCTATAGGACACATGGTTTGAATGCTAAACTTCATCTGGGGTTTGGGAACTGAAATGAACAGAAGGGAAAAAAAGTGAATACAACATAGTAAAGTAATTAACTAGAATGGTAATTCCATGATGTACATTTGTGATGCCAGCATCACTGTTAATATCATTGACCTGATGAACAGTTTTGAGTCCTGTGGGATAAGGAGATTATTTTTTGAAAAATTCAGCCAAATCTCCCCCAAAATTTCTCTTCTAGATACCTTATTTGTAGAAACTGAAAACATTTTTATTAAAAAAAAATCCTGAGGGTACAAACAATTCTGTCAATGCCATGCGTATTTTAACAGCAGTAACTATAAACAAGCATCATCTTCTGGCTCAGCATGCTTCACAGCTATGAAAAGAGAACAAAAATGTTTCCTGTTTTATCATGTCCATATGTCAGCACAGGGACATTGAGGCATCTGTGTGCAAGGGTTTATAGCACAAGTTTAATTTTCTCATCTACTGTAAAATATTGATCTAAAAATTTCGTTCTTACCATCCTTCCAAATCAGAGTAAAGCCCAACTGATACGCATGACGTGGCTGCTTCTTAGTCTGCTCTCCAAAGCATTTCAAGAGGTTTTCTGGCACACTTTTCACTGATGAATGTGTGTGAACAGCTGATAATATTTTATACCGTTCACAAAGCAGACTGTGTATCACTAACAGTGACAGTGGAGGTACAGAAGGATTTGCATTGATGACAACATCTTTCAGGGCACCATAATCCTGAATGGAAAGTAAGATAATATTCAGCAGGTAAGACACATTCTAGATCATACTCATAACTACTGCTTTCATTTGACACCAAAATGTACATAGTCATGCATTTGTATATCTGAAATCCTAACAATATTCAAGTAAATAAATTCAAGCCTGGACATTTAAAAGTTGTGTAAACCTTTAAACATCCTCCTTCCCTGATATGTAATTCAAGGACATGACTGAAGTAAATTCTACTCCAAGATGAAGCCAATATTGAAGTTTCCAGTCTAGTAACAAACAAGAAACCAACTGCTGAAATTTCAAAATTAACTATTCTTGCTTGAAATGATATCCAAATGAGTATATATAGTACTAGTATTTATAAATGTTTGTACCTATAATCTGGATGGCCAAATTAAATTATAATTGTAGGTTGTATAATGAATTCTGAGTGTCCTAGGTTTTAATGCCCCCCTTCCAACCCTGAAAACTGAATGCTGAGAAAGTACCTACCAATGTAACTGCTCAACTAAACTCACCTTTCCAAGCATCAGATCTAAATCTGCTGTGTTTGTTGTCAAAGGAGAAAATTCATCAGTTTGAATTATATTTGTGACATCAAAGTCAGCATCTGGGGTTTGTATCATCTTGGAGAGCCCATCCACAGCACTCTTCAGTTCATACAAGCGCTTCAGAATCTCTTCCTGGCGGGATTCAAGTGCTAGAAGTGATGGGTCAACCTCTTCCTACAGGAGAGGAAAAAACAAGGCCACGTAAATCTTCACTCAGCTCACCGTCAAAATAGTCCACAGCTCACTTAACATTTAAGTATTGAAAGTCTAAACCCCTTCAGATAACCAGACTATTGTGAATATCATGGGCTTGTATCTATCGTCTGCATGAGTGTGGTGAGATGGCATATTTAATCAATTCCTGAAATCTTCCTGCTTAATAGATTTTTTTAAAACCATTAGTTACAGCAAACTCTGTAACACAGTCAAAATCAGACAAAGAGTTGGCAGTGAAGTGCTGAACAATGATTGAAAAATCAAAGACAGCTTGTCAGGTTCTTTTCAGCCCAGAAGAGCAGATGGGTAAGTTTGTGGTACAGCAGCCAAACAAGGAAACTTTTTGACAAATCAGGTAGTTAATACAAGTAAAAAGCCCTGCAGGCTTAGATGGATGGTATATTATGTGTATTCAGTCTTTGTTTCAGAGAATATAAATTGTAGTGGAAAAAAAAAAGATCATGGGCTTTGTTACACATTAATACCAATGTAGCTTTTTATCTCAATTACCTCACAAGCAATCTCATGTTACAATCTCATAAAAGAAGATGAAAAATATATTCCTGTGGCAGGTTTTAAGTCTACAAGCTTAAAATAACGTTAAAGAAAAATCTTCAAATAGCCTATTTCTAAGCATCCTGAATAAAGATTAACAAAGCCCAAATGATCGTGGATGAAGAGATAAACAAGGCATCCAAGTAAAATCATTATACCCACTTAAAATAATATTCTCAAAGACAAGACAAGGGAAGACCTCCTATGTGACCATTATTTAGTTAGTACACAATTCCATACTTTGCAATGGGAAGACATTTCGTTAGCATTCTTGTTAAGTTCTGCCCCAAAGTTACTCCTGCTCAGTATCTCCACCATCAACCTGGGTGAAGGCACAGCAAATCCGTGATGGCGTAAAACTAAATTTGGTCACAAGCAGCCTATGACAATTCCATGCATTCCTGGCACTGGAGAGAGGCTGCTCAACTAGTCCTATGTAACACAGCATTTGGAATTTTTGTCTTATTTGAGGCAAAAGAAACCGAGAGTAGAAATAGAGGGTGTGTAGCTGGCTAAAACCCGAGCTGAGCCAGCAGAGCGATGATGCAGCAGGACGGAACGAGGCCCGCTGGGCACTCTCCCGGGGCTGGCAGGGAGCTCGGCACGGCCACTCAAACATAAAAACCGCGACAGGAACACACGCGAAGCCTAGAAAAGTCAAAATGAGAACTACTGAAGGCTTAAAAAGCATTACAGAGAAATTCCTGAAAACGTTGATTTTATTTAACCCTCGGACGCGCCGCTTACGGCGAGGCGGGGCCAGAGCTCCCCCCGCGGGTTGAGGCGGTGGAACTCGGCCCCGTGAGCGCTCTGGCAACGGAGGCTCCTCCCGGTCCCTAACAGGGGCTGGGGCTCTCACCGGAGGGAACACCGGCCCAGCGGCCGCATGTCTGACCTCGCCAGGGCGAGCACCGTGGGCCGCAGCCTGAGCAGGTCCTTCCGCCCACCCTTCGCTCCTACCTGCGGCGGCGCGGCGGTGCCGGGGGCGCGGTGCAGGTTGGGCAGGGGGTACATACAGGTGGGCAGGTGCTCCGCCAGCACCCCCGTGCCGTGCAGCGGCCGCACCTTGTACATCGCGGGCATGGCGGCTCCCGGCCCGCCGCGCGCCCGCTCCGCCACCGCCGGGCCGTCCACCCCCGCGCCCATTGGCGGAGGCACGATACTGACACGCGTGGCACCCAATGG